TTAAATATGTTTAATTACAATTTTTACAAAAGTGATAAGTACAAAAAGGTCTTTAGTATCAAACTTAAGGATTATTTCATGCAAAGTTTCTAGTAAAAACGTAAGAATATGAACAATAATTACGAAACATACCAAATCATCTTTTAAAATTTATACATATATATATATATATATATATATATATATATATATATATATATATATATATATATATATATATATATATATGTTTTGTTTACAAACTTGTCTTCTACATAAAAAATATACATATATAGTTTACGAAACTCTACTCCATTTGTATCCTGTTGAGCAAATGGTAAAATATTGTCAAATGCATATCTAAAGATTTCACGTCGTTTTTCATAGCTATCCCAGTCTTAGGGGATGATCGTTTATACAAACATTTTCAACACAAAAACACGTAAACTCGTTGAACAAATTTAGTGAGTTTTGTCTTCACGGTACCCTATAAAGTACACACGAAAGTACTGTTAAATATAACCAGAGTCTCTTGCAGGGAGAACGTGATAGTTTTGTATAGATCTATACTGGGACCGACAATCTCACACCTTAGCTGCTTGCAACAGCTAGACCGGCAGGTCTGGGGGTGACAAATATCATAACGAAATCGACACCTGAAGAACGTTGCAAACAAGGTAGTCTGGATCAATCAAGCATGGTTATAAGATAAAAATTAAAACTCACATAAAACAACAATGACACTTTTAGTTTACACAAAGACAGTATTCAGACAGTTTTATATACAAACAAAACTGCATAACAACATTTTAAGTAGGAAAATTACTTATACGTTTCGGTCTTGGTTCATTTAAGGCCACATCTCATTTTAGGGAAAATATAGGATTTTCTGGAAAACAAACATTACTACATTTCATAGAAAAGGTTTACAACTATACATACAAATGCTTATGAACTCACCAACTTAAATGTTGATACTCTCTTTTCAAATAACTTTTATTCTCAGGAAATCAGTAAATCAGGTAACAACTGGCTTTGAGGATGGGACGCTTAGGCGTCTAAACAAATCTTTTGATAACATATTGTAATTGATATTTTGAAACATGTAATACGTACAAATGATGTAACTTTTTCAATTATATATATGTTGGTTGTGTTTGCTTTGAACATTTATACTCAACTGTTATGATACACTACATGATAGTCGGCCCCTGGACGTTTCCGCCATCCTGGTTTGGGGCTGTGACAGATCAACACTGCCTCCTTTATCGCATACGTCGTTTTGAGAACATATAAGGGCGATTTCGAATGCTTAAGACCAAAGAATTGAAGCTCTATCCAAGGAATTTCAAGGGAATCAATTATTAAAGCTCTGAAATCTTGGATTGAAGGAAACTTCTTTTTTCTTGCTAACTTCGAAGTTTTTTACTTGTGGAATTGGAAAGGGTGATAAAATCTTAATTATTGTGCTATAAACATCTTGATGATAATGTTGTAGTGAGTCTGGTAATCATGTATTCAAGCTTAATACATCAAAACTTCGGTTGAGTATTAGAAATTGAAGATGATGATGATTAGGTTGGATAATTTGTTAGATACTTAAACGCGAATTGATCTACTCTAATAAATGAAAGTTGTTTGTAACATGTCCACTTCTCCTTCATTTGGACACATGACATTTTCTAACTTTTTTAAATTTTTTATTTTCCACTTGTCATTTTATTGTATTTTTCATTGTATTAAATTAAAATTCCACATTTAATATGTAAGGTAATATATATGTAAGGTATTTATTAAAAAGGGTTTATATGTATATAATATATCAAATATATTAAAATCTCAATAATTTTAATAATTCAAAAAAAATTATCATTTTGTTATAAATTCAAACTTTTCAAATTGTTAAACTTTTATATATATATATATATATATATATATATATATATATATATATATATATATATATATATATATATATATATATATATATATATATATATATTAAATAAACTCATGTAATGCATGGGTTTCACACTTAGTTTTATAACATATTAAGAGATATGGGTAAGTTATTTGGGGAAGTTAACTAGCTATTTTGAAATGTCGAATGGTATTTCTTTCCCGTATTTCAAATACTTCGTACAGTACCCAATAAATTATTGAGTGTTCTTTTAATGGTTTCAGTACCTGCGGGATTATTAACAGTACCTTTTTTTAGAGAATGTTAATAAATTCCAAAATCCATTTCGTCGTCCAGTAGCGACAACCGTATTTTTGATTGGTACCGCAGTGGCCCTTTGGTTGGGTATTGGTGTAAGATTACCTATTGATAAATCCCTAACTTTATGTCTTTTTTAAATTGATTCAATTGTGAAATAAAATATCACAACGTATGTATCTAAGGAACAGTCGCTTTGAAGCGACTTCTCCCTAGATACATCTATTCAATTAAATTATGAATCTATGCCAATTCCGAATATATGAATTGTCCTAAAGATTCAAAACCTATTTTCGGCCTTTTTCTAAAAAAAAAAAGATGAAAAAAAAAATCCAATGAATTTAAAACTTATTTTTCGGTAAATCAATGAAAATGAAATGAAATTATGCAAATAAATTAAGCTCTTGTTCCATCCGGTCAACATCAAATACTAATTAAAAATTATTTTATTTTATTAATAATTTATTTCTTCTATTACTAAGAATTAGTTAAATACATCAAAGTCAAATTGTCACCTTCATCTTCCATATTCTTCATCATCGCAGTCATTTTTATTTGTCGTCTTCAATTTACTAATTCAATATCATTTCTATCCTTCATCTTCCATATTAGTCAAAAATGGGGGGAATCAACAATAATATTAATAAATGGTTTGTGTGTATTTTATCTTATAAGAAAATCAGAATAGAATGAAACCACAATCTCTAATCAAAATCAAATAAAAAAGTAGAATAGGACAACAAATAGTTAATATTGATGAAAATCCTAAGATGGAATCCCATTGTTTGATTTGTCCTTTGTGACTACCATAAATTCTTGATGGAAGATGAAGATGGCTTTGATCTATTTAGTTAATTTCAAATAATAATAATAATAATAATAATAATAATAATAATAATATAGTTACAACAAAATGATAAAATAAAATAAAAAATAATTACTTAATTATTAATATAAAATGTTTTTTTTTCTTTTTTGAAAAATACAAGTATAACAAATTTCCATAATAAATTGCCTAAAGATTAACATATTTTTTCAAAATAGCCACTAATTTTGAAATAACTCATCATGAAATACATTAAGATGCTAAGCACACATAAATGATGGAACGTAAACATTCATAACTTGCCAGATATGAAAAACATAAATGACCATATTTGAAGATAAATGAAAATAATTAAACATAAAACTAGACTGCGAACACTTCTGATAAATCGATACTAATTAATGTCATTTTGATATTTTAATCAAATCTCTGGAAATTGTGAAACTTAAACCATTTTTAGGAGCTCAACTTTCACTATTACTAGTTTAATAATATTATATATATCATTTGGTATAATAATTGAAAATATAATAATATTATATATATCATTTAGTATAATAATTGAAAATAAATGAACCAACGATACTATTGTTTGTTTGCTTAAATAAATAAATATATTTTTTTAGTTCATATTGGGTTGTTTATTAAATAAACAAAAATAAACAAATTTCTCGCTAAATAATTTATGAGCAAATCATTAAATATTTGTTTCATTTACAACTAATTACACGCTCCACCAAGTAAAAGTAAGTTATGTGACTTATCAAGTTATGAAGTGCCAAAGGTAAGGCAATACAATAATATGTAACCCAACAAGTTTTTATTTTTATTTTTTTTTATTATTATTTTTTGAAGCAACATTGTTTAAGTAACATTTTGTATTAGTAGTAATATACAGTAAACTCTCTAACATTTTCATTGACTTAATATGAAAGTTCTAAACTATTTTTTATTTACACTAAAATCTTAATTACCGACATTTATTGACACGATTGCCCTTTTTTACTGGTAACTAATTTAATAGGCAGTAATCAAGCTGATGTGGCTACTAACATTTACCTAGATGGTGACTCAACATGAGGACATCATTAAATGAAGAAGGGTTAATTGAAAAGGAAAAACCTTTCTTTCTACTGCGAAGATTCTATGGTTTTTTCTCTAGCGGAGATAATAGTTCGGGTCTGAAGGAGATATGAGTTAGGCTATGAAGATGGAAGGTGTGTTGGACTTTGACACAATCGGTGTGGAACTAGATGAAGACCTTCTAAAGAAACAGAGTAAGAGATGTATAGATGAGTTCTTGAAATCACTATGTCTTGATGATGAAGATGAAGACTTCATAATCCCTTTATTTGAGAATCTTAAACATGATGAAGCACATGTCCAATGTCAAAATTGTTAACAAAAGGGACACAACAAGAAAAGCTGCAAAAATCCACATGTTGAACCAGATCCTAAACCCAAGAAAAAGTAGGCAGAACAAGATTGGACCCTAGTCTCACCCAATGGACAAGACATGGTAGAGAGTGGGAAGGGGAAATAGAGGATGTGGTATGGTACCTAGAGGTGGTGGAGGGGTACCCAAAGGTAGGGGTGGCTTTCATAGTTAGTTTGAAGGATGTGAAACCTCAAATACAGTACCACCTCAAAAAAGGGTCAATGAAGAATATGAATCTGATGAGATGGTGGATGTAGATGTGGTGAGTGATGGAGATGGAATGGATATGGTAGATATGGACTATATTATACAAAAAATTTCACAGTTAAGGAACTCATCTTACACCGATGTAGACATTATGAGATGCCTTGGAATTACTAAAGCTCAATTAAAAAAGTTTGGATATGTAGTAAGGTTTCATTTAGTGTTTATGTGTACAATTGTTTTTTACTATTTTTTTCTATTTTAGGCTACCAATGTTGAAGGTGAAGTAGTTCAAGGGAATTGAGTAGAAGGTAGAGTTAAACATGTACATAGAGATGGAATGGAAGGAGATGGAGTTGAAGATGTCCATGGGAATGAAGAAAAAGATAGATTGGAAGGAGATGGACAATGAGATGGAGTGGAAGGAGGTGGATAAGGACAAGGTAATGAAGAAGGAGAATAGAGAGGGGAATGAAGAAGAATTGTGGAGAAGAATGAAAAGGAGATGAAGAGGGACAAGGTAATAAAGAAGAAAATGGAGAAGAAGAAGATGGAGAAGGGGATGAAGATGGACAAGGAGATGGAGTGGAAAGATTTGCAGCTAAAGATGCTCAAGAAAATGAAGAAGGTGGAGAAGGAATTGAAGCAATTCCGGTGAATGATCCAGTATAGCCAAGGCATTTTGGGAATAATATGCAACAAAGGATAATGAGACCCTTCGATATGATCATTCTTCAGAAGCTAAAGAAAAAGGTGGTTGACCCTCTTGGTATAAGAATGTCTCAAGATAAGGCATTTACTTTAAATTTGGGATAGGGTATAGCAATTTGGTGCATATCATCTTTTGGTGAATATTATGTAAACATCGTTGCATATCATCTTTTGGTTCATATTTTGTAAATATTTACTGGTCACTAAGAAATGATCAGAATCGGTCAATGTCATATTTTAGTTCAAATTTGGTAGTTCAGGTTCGCCTTGGTCAATGATAGTTTTATTACTCATATTTGGTTCATAGTAGGTTGTAATTTGATTTCATCCTAATTCATTACAACATAAGTAAAATGTTGATTACATTGCAAAAGAAACCAAAACATTATACATAGTGACTACATTGCCTTTACATCATCCTAAAATACAAACCAAAAAATAAACTACATCATGGACCACCCTGGTGTTGGATAAGGTGTCTAACTCCATAACTTATTTGGTATATACTTGACCCAACCCGGTATGGTCCATTTGGGTTGCATTTCATCCAAACTATTTATGGATAATGTTATGAGAGTTATACACATATGATTATTAATATATTATAAGTTATAATATATTAATATGAAGTCATGTTATTTAATTAGTCTTAGTCTTAAAGTAATTATGAATTAATTTAGAGATTAAAAAGAAGACTAATTAGATTGTGGGCTATTGGTTTTATATGGTGTGGGCTAACACTCATTTGTTAATGGGCTAGGCTTGTATGGAAGTCCATGGATGATCCATGGAGCTTTTAACCCATGGATCCTTGGAAAAGGAAAGGTCATGGGTTATTAGGGTTTCACCCTAACCATGCACACTATATAAGCATGCTTATGTTGCATGAAATAGCCACTAGTGTGTGTGTTTGTGTGTAGCCGAAAATTGTAGTGTGTATACACTCTCTCAAAGTTTCCCAAGAGTTTGTGGTGATTTGTGATTCCATTTGAGGCATTCACACTATTGGTGCTTGGCCCTCAAACTCCTTAAGAATCAAACTCATCAAAAAGGTATGTAATCTCATCTAATTCTTTTATGTTTAAAAGTACCCCATGCCATGTTAGATAGGTTATGAACCTTGGAAAATTATTATTTTGCATGTATTTAGACAAACATAGATCCAAGGTTTATTAGGGTTGCATGCACACTTAGGAAGTGTTAGATTGCTCAAAACCCAACAGTGGTATCAAAGCCTAGGCTTGCTTGTTTGATACTTGATGCAAAATAGTGAAAAAAGTAGAATCTTTTGTTGTTTGCATGATGGACTCGCCGAGTCCAAGGCAAAATTCATCCTACTCGCCGAGTAGGTTCGTGCACTCGGTGAGTAGAAGGTTCAGAATGCAGTTTTTCGATTTTTGCTGCTGGAAATGGACTAGAAACTTTACCATAAATTGTTTTGGTGTTTTAAAACTTATTTTAGTTGGTGTAATGGTTGTTCTAATCCATTTACAATAGCATATATCAAAATTTCATGCTTTGTATGTGTTCATATAATTTTTGAAACTTTGATAATCATGTTCATGTTCTTATGAATTTAGAAGATGATAGGAATTATTTGCTGAATTGTTTAGGATTAATTCTTGATCATTTATGTGTTTTAATGGAGTCCATAATTTGTCCTCAAGTTATGGATATCCAAAGGTCACTTTTCTTTAACACACATTAAAAACACATAAGTTACATAAAATGAAGAGTCTTCATTTTATGAACCTTTAATTCATAAGTTATGAAATGAAAAGTTTTGAAGAGTTACAAAACTTGTCCTCAAGTTTTGGAATTTGGAAAAGTTTCACACACTTTAATAAACATTAATTCCAACACTTAGAATTTTAAAAGTTAAAATTCAACACTTATACTATTTATAACATTAATGGTTAATTATATATATATATATATATATATATATATATATATATATATATATATATGTGTGTGTGTGTGTGTGTGTAAGAACAAGTCGTTTTACCGTTAGTAGGCGTCATTCACGAAGCCAATCTATAAGGTGGGTATAAGGTTGTTGCCTATAAAATGACGACTTAATGGGTGTATACTCTCACCCACCGCTTGATTGACTGGTGGAGGGTCGTTAGCCGAACGGGTAAGATAAAGACTTATAAATTCTCATTAAGTATAATGAATATTATAAAGTAACTAAATCTTTTATTTAATTCCCAATCTTAGTTACTTTAGGAAAAATGTGAACATGGTGCTAATCCATGGAATTCACACTTTGTACCTTACCAATTCGTTGGTGGAGCGTGTGTGGTTAACCGGCACACTAACTTGGACTAGTAAGGATCACGAAGGGTGACTTAATGTTTGTCATAGATCAATGGAGCGTGTGTGGTTAACCGACACATTGATTAGGTGATAATATTAAGGGTACCAAGTGAATTGGCATGGTTATTCACACCTTGTTTTGTGATCCTCGGCATCCCAGTCACAAAACTTGAAGGCACAATCGAGATTGAAACATGCCATTGAAAAGTTCAATGAATCTCAAAAGAATCTAGGAATTTCAAATCCAATTAAAACCTAATAATTCATTTTGTTTTCATGGTGGAAATTGGTGAATCGTCATTCACCTACCTTTCAAATATATTATTACTTAGATTACGACATCCCTCTTCTAAGTATAATATATTGTGATTGGATCCTAGCCTTAATATTACATTTGGGTGTCTTATTAAGGACTCTATATATCTAATCTAAACTTACTTTCTTCTTTCAGATGTCTTCCAACACTAATGCTTTGGGCTCTAACCCAACTGGTTCTTTCTCTCTCATGAATCTTTGTGGGAGAGTCATCTTTGATGGTTCCAACTTCATGGACTGCGTAAGGAACATCAGGATGGTAACTCGTTATGAGGACAAGGAATATGTCCTCGATAAGGAGTTAAAAGAGCTTGATGAGTCTACTGCTACTCCTGAGGAGATCACTGAATTCAGGACACATGAGAGAGATGCTACTAAGGTGGCATGCATCATGATGGCCACGATGACAGCCGAGCTCCAAAAGTCCTATGAGGACTTCTACCCTTTTGAGATGCACCAAGACCTGATGGAAAGGTACCATCAGAGTGCTCGTCAAGAGCGATATGAAATAATCTCCTCCATAATAACAACCCGCATGAAGGACGGTGAATCCGTCACGGCCCGCATGCAAAAGATGCAAAGGTATGTGGACCGTTTGCTGATGCTGAATGTGAACTTCCCTGAGGAGTTGGCAATTGACATCATTTTGCACTCCTTACCTTCTTGTTATGACCATTTTCGTATGATATATCATATGAACAAGGAGGAAGTTACCCTTAGCAAGCTTCAAGGACTCTTGAAGACCGTTGAAACCGATCTTAAGGGCAAGTCGGTTGTTACCTCTACTACTCCTACTCCAACATCTACCCCTGTTTTGGCTATCGGGCAAGGCAAATGGAAAAAGAGGAAGCACCCTTCGAAGGGTACCAAGGGAAAGTCTCTTGAAGGCTCCTCATCAAGGACCAAGAGCGGTTCTGCCACTCCTTCTGCCATTCCCAAGGATGCTGATTGCTACTATTGCGAAACTGCCCTAAATACTTGCAAGATCTGAAGGATGGGAAAGTGAAACCCACCCACGCAGGTATTTACACAATATTGTCTAATAACTCACCATATTCTAACTCTTGGGTGCTTGATACAGGATGTGGTATTCACATTTGCAGGGCCTAAGAAGAAGTGAGGATGTGGAGCATGGGAATATAAACTTGATCATGGGGAATAGGAAGGCTTCACCTGTTTCCAAGATTGGAGTTTATACTTTGTTGCTAAATAATGGGTTAAAATTAGATTTGAATAAATGTGTGTACTCGTCTGAAATGGCGAGGAATATTATTTCCTTTCATGCTTTGTACAAACAAGGTTTTACCTTTTCGTTTGATAATGAATGTGGTGGTATTAATGCTTTCTTTAATAATGTGTTTTATTTTAAAGCATTACCTTGTGATGGTGTGTATGAAACTGTGTCGATTGTAGACAACTTAGGAAATAATGTGTTGTATATTGATTCTTCTACTAGCCTAGATAAGGCATCATTGTGCCATTGTCGTCTTGGACATGTAAACAAGAAACGCATAGGCCAACTCCAAAAGAGTGGAGTCTTGGAGTCATTCGACCTTAAATCGGATGATAGTTGTGAATCTTGTCTACTTGGAAAGATGAAAAATCACCCTTCACTGGAACTTGTGAAAGGGGAGGGTTTGTTGGACCTAATACATACTGATGTATGTGGACCATTCAAAACCGCCACAAGGGATGCTAATCGGTATTATGTGACTTTTATTGATGATTTTAGTAGATATGGTATGTCTACTTAATCAAACATAAGTCAGAAACCTTTGAAAGGTTTAAGGAATTCAAACAGGAAGTAGAAAATCAATTGGGCAGGAACATTAAGATGCTTCGATCCGATCGAGGTGGTGAGTATCTTAGTACCGAGTTCCTTGACTATCTTAAGGAGTGTGGGATTGTCTCACAATTGACTCCTCCCAGGACACCACAGCTAAATGGTGTAGCTGAGAGGCGTAATCGAACCTTGTTAGACATGGTTCGCTCTATGATGAGTCGAGCTTCGCTACCAATCTCTTTTTGGGGGTATGCCTTAGAGACTGCCGCCCATATCCTTAATCTAGTCCCTACAAAGAAGGTTACCAAAACACCTCATGAGATGTGGACTGGGAAGGTTCCCAATTTGGACCACATCAAAATTTGGGGTTGAGAAGCTTTCATGAGGCCTGAAACTCATGATAAGCTCGAACCCCGAAGTGAAAGGTGTATTTTCATCGGCTACCCACGGAAATCCTTCGTTACCTCTTCTACGGACCCAGTGAGAATGTGGTCTTTGTAGCAAGAAGAGGGGTCTTTCGTGAGAGAGAATTTATAAGCCA